ACAAGCCTTATTGCTATTCATTATGCTCTCAGGGTACTTAGTTCCACGTTTCATAATAACTTTTTTATTTCAAGGATCATCACGTAAATTTATTTCATCATAATTCCAAATGTTACACGGTGGATTCCCTTCAAGCTTGTCGTGTTTTCTATTTTTTGTTATTGAACTATTTGTTTTATATATGTGTCTATTTTCTTGTATCTTTAGATTAGTACAATTATTGTTAAAAAAATGTTTTTAACAATAATTGTTAAAAACCCTTATAAATATTAAAGAAAGGTAATTAAATATTTTTTGATGATTTATTTATTTGGTAACATTTCGCATATATGTGTATATATATCATATATATATATATATATATATATATATATATATATATATATATATATATATATATATATATATATATATATATATATATATATATATATATATATATACATATATATATATATATATATATATATATATATATATATATATATATATATATATATATATATATATATATATATATATATATATATATATTTATTTATATATATATATATATATATATATATATATATATATATATATATTTATATATATATATATATATATATATATATATATATATTTATATATACATATATATTTATATATGTATATATATATATATATTTATATTTATATATATATATATATATATATATACATACATATATATATATATATATATATATATATATATATATATATATATATATATATATATATATATATATATATATATATATATATATATATACATATATGAAATATATAGTTTTAGAATTCCTTTAGAAACAAACAAAAATATAAAATTCAAAATTGCACAAAAATTTGTAAAACTGTAATTTTTGCAATTACTTTTTGATAAAATTATTACCTTTATTTCATTAAAATTGCATTTTTTGCATTAACACAAATAAAAGGGAATTCTGGCCGTCTCAATTCGCTCGAATATATTCCAATGCAGTCGTTGATTGGTAAGTATTAAGTTAAAATTAAAAGAAAAAATTTAATAACATAGATGTGCCTGTTTTTTATTACATAACAAATTAAATCTTGATGGAATGTTTGAGACTGCTGTACGTAAGACCTCTTTAACATTTTTTAATGATGAACGATATTGGGATTTAATATGTTAAAGCTGAGAAAGTAACTTCACATAAATATGTGGTGTTTAATGGCAGAAAATATTTAACCCCATATCAGCGATTGTGGGAAACTTAGGTCTAGTTCTAATACCAATTTAATTTTAAGGGCTTTTTCGGAAAATGTAGTTTTAAGTTTGAGTCACTCGAAAGTTCAGCAAACTCCTCCTGAGCTTAAATTACCAGGTAATCAATCTCACTCTAGCCAATCCAAAACGGCTTTTGAGTCCAAGCTATCTTTTTCAATCAGTGTTTAATATAAAATATATACGAAAGTGTGTTTCTAGCGCTTTTTAGTGATCAACTATAATTTTTGCGATAAATGTTTTACAATGATTTTTCTTGATTATAAACTTGTCAACAATAAAAAATTTTGATCTTTTTAATAAAACTTTTAATTTTATCATTTGAAGTAAACATATCGCATTTTTTTTCCTTGAAGAGACAAATTGAGATTTTATAATTTCTCAAATATATCTGACAAAAAACACAGCTTGGATAGCCAAAAAAAGCAGCAAGTTCATACTTTCGTTTGGTTAAAAATATTTCAATTTCGTCCTGTAATAACAATAATCTTCTTAAACTTTAACCTTTTACAACCATCTTACTTTTGCATGTAATAATAAAGTTTTGTATCCTTATCTTTACAGAGATTTGAAAATAAGTAGCTGTTAAGGGAATGGCTCGTAATAAAATTTATTCCATTCAATTGAAAGAGTACTCAATTGGAATCAATTGATTACTCTTTGCTGTGCAAGTCTTTGGATATGACCTCGCATAACATACTTTGACAACGAAGGACGAGTAAATGATACGTAAAAGTTTGTTTTATCGATTTCACGCATGAAATTAAATATGAGAATTAAATCACGTCTTATTCTTCTTTCTTGAAGTGTCGTAGAACCTAAAATGACTCTTCACTGCTTGGTGGTGCGATGCCTAATCTCAGAAATGTTTTTTGTAAAACGGTTTTGAACTTTTTCTAGCGCTTCTATGTCTGCCCTTTGGTAAGGTGACCACGCTTGGATAGCGTACTCTAGGCAAGGACGAACACACGTGGTATACAGCTTTTATTCGGCCTCCCTATCGAGCGGTTAACATTCACCGCAGCTGCTGTAACTTGACATTAAATTTAAGATCACCTAAGATAAGAACTCCAAGATCTCCTGTAACCATATTTAAATAGAATAGAATGAGACAATCAAATTTTTTATTGATCGAAGCTATTTAGAATCGAATTTGAACTTTCTTTGTTAGCTTAGAATCATTTACAGTTGAATTTTCTAGGATCAAATTTTTTTAATTAAATTATTAAACTTTTTTCAATCGATTAATGTAGAACCACCATTTAGAACAGAATCTTCTAGAATCGAACTAGTTTAGTAAATTAAAATTTTAGTGTATACAATAGTATATTAAATAGTACATTAAATAATAATTTAATTAAACATATTTTAAAAATCTTGATCCTCTGCATACTGGACAATAATTAGTAGCACTACTTTGAATGGCTTCAGTACAAAATTTCAATTGTAAAAAAATTCGAAGCTAAATTAATCGTCTGTGAAAAGTAATTTAGTTTTTAGTTTCATTAAACCTTTAATGATATTCGATTATCTCATTCTATGTTCAATAAATTCGATTCTAGATATTGATCAAATTATTTTCAATTCTAAGCAGTTTTTAGACAATTCGGTTCTAGAGCATTTCGCAAATTCGGTTCTGGTATTGGGGGCCATTGCAAGTGGCAAGCCGTCTGGTCCTGGCATGAAAGAGTCTCGTTTTGATAGTTTTTTTCATCAGCCAGTATGCATGACTTTACATTTTTCAATATTAAATGCAATAAGCCAGCAATGTCACCATTTAATGGCTTTGTCTAAGTCTGCTTGCAGACTCTCTGTGTCCCAGTCAGATTTTATAACGCCAATAATTTTGCTGTCATCAGCGTAGAGCTTGATCTGATATTTCAATTTGTCTGGAAGATCATTAATGTAGGGAGTAAACAGTAATAAACCCAAGACTGAACCTTGTGGTATGCTGCTTACTACGTTTTTCCATTCTGATGTACGCTCTCCGATTACGACTCTTAACTACCTTCCTGAGAGCCATGCTTTCATCCATGCGTGAGGCTCCTCTTTGATTCCGTAGTTTTGACTTTGGTTGAGAAGTCTATTGAGTGGAACACTGTCGAAGACTTTTGCCAGATCCGTAAAGATTACGTCTGTAGCATATCTCTGGTACATAGCTTCTGTTAAATAATCAATTGTTTCCAGAAGGTATGTCAAGCAAGACTTTTTGGTAACGAAACCGTGTTGGTTTTTTGATTTAAGACCTTTTATAATACGATGATTTAAATTCAAATCTTGAACGAAACGCTCCACAACTTTATAAAAGATACTAGTGAGTGATACTGGTCTGTAATTAGATGCTTTTAGTTTGCAGCCCTATAAATATTAGTGTTATGTTTGAGCACATCCAGTCGTCTGACACCTCACCTTTAGAAAGTAAAGTCTAAAAAATAATAATAAGTGGAACGGAAAACGCTGATGCACACATTTTGAGTAACCTTTAATGGACGTAGTAAATGCCCATCAACTTGTTCCTGTCAAGGTTTTCAAGCCATGTACTTTTCAAGTCTGTACTTCGTCACGTGCAATAAACTGCGTCGTACATGTCTCATCCGTCCTTGGTTTGAAATCTGGCATCGGACTTTGCGGCTCGATTACAAAAACCAAATGAGTCATTTAAGTTTCAACATTTTTTCTTCTCATCAACTGTGTTTTCACCTGCACTGTCCTCTAAAACTCGTACTTGGTGTTTAACTTTTTGCATTTTGTTAATATAGGCATGAATCAATTTTAGGTTATTCTTTGATGCTTTTTTTAACTTCTTTCGCAACCTGTTTGCACGATTCGTTATATTTTTTTCAAAGGATTTCGCGCGTAAAGTGCCCAGCAGCTCGGTACTTTGCCCACAGGGTTCTTTTTTTGTTTCTTGCCTCTTTAACTGTCTGGGTTACCCATGGGTTGGCATTTTTGGCAGAAAAAGTGTCTGTAACTGGTGTATAAAGCTTGCAAGCGTATTCTCTATTTTGACAAAAAATATGATAACATTTGTTCGTTGAGAGGCCAATAAAAAAAGTTTTATCGTCAAGCAGTTCTATGTATTTTGATATTTCCTTATACTCTGTTTTATTCCATAAAAAGCGTGTCTACGTACATAATTGATGTCTCTTTTAAACATTCGTGGTCTTAAAAATTCCCGAAATTAGACTGGAGGTTATAATGAAGACGAACTTTGCATATTGTTAACTAAAATACTCTACTTTTAGAAGTGATTTTTAATCTTGGAATCTTTTAAACTGTAAAATTAACATCACTTGGGCTTTGACCTTAAAGGCAAATTAAGACCTATTTAACAATTATTTTCGTAGTTGCAAACTTTCGTACTTTTTGAAACTTTCTTTTTAATGCTAAAAAAAGACCATATACGATTTACCGTATATTGGCAACCCTCCCCCATATGTTGTTTTCCAAAAAATGGTGTTGATTCAGTTCAGATGTTACTTCAAAACACAAACTTATTTAATTATAGCTGTTTTATGCAGCATTTTTAATTCATTTAAAAAACTAAAAAGATGTAAGAAAACGTATAATAAAGCTTCATTATTTAATTTCTTATATTTTATAAGAAAAAGAAAATGCATTTACACTTAACTAAAACAAATAAATAATTGGGCTTTGCTTATTCATTTTTTTGTTATAAAAATATAATACTGACGTTTGAATGTGATATTTAGACCCAGCAAGTACATTAAGCTTGTGTTAATTTGTTATTGTGCTAATGTTCCTGTTGTAATAAAATATACATATATTACTATACAAAACACAAATATTACTTTTTAAAACTCTGAAATGTCATTTAAGTTTATTTTGTATATAGATTTTAATTTGCTTCTCAAGAATGTTTAATGGAACCCCTCCAATAGATGCAACCAAATCATGAAATTGTTTAAGATCAAATTTTTCACCAAGATTTTCAGCAGCCATATTTCTTAATTCTTTAATTTTGATTTCTCCCATTTTATATCCGCATGCTTGACCAGGCCAGGTAATATAACGATCAATTTCTGTTGAAATTGTGTGAGAGTCAGTTGCCGTATGTTTTGTCATGTATTCTATGGCTTTATCTCTACTCCATCCTAAAGCATGAATTCCAGTATCAACCACAAGGCGACAAGCGCGAAGCATTTCATTAGACAATCTTCCATAGAGATCGTATAAATCTTTATATAACCCCATTTCTTCACCAAGAAACTCACAGTACAAACCCCATCCTTCAACATATGCTGTATTTAAACCAAATCGTGCAGGTGATTCATAATACTTTCGATCTTCTAAAAACCTACGAAACTCAACTAAGCAACCAGATTCCATAGTCAAAGCACTTTGCAAATGATGTCCGGGCTCAGCCTCATGAAGAGCTAAAGATATAGCTTCAAACTTTCTCTTCATTTCAACTTTACTGGTGTTTACAAAAAATGTACCAGGTCTGCTTGAATCTTCAGAAGGTGCAAGATAATAGGCATTTGGCATGGTAGGAGCTACAACATCATTCATTTTGGTTAAAATAAAATTTGCTTTTGGAACTTTGGTAAAAAACTTTGGTAAAACACTTTTTACCTCATTACATATTGTTTCGTAATAGTGTAACATTTCATCAGCGCTAGAAAAGCTAAACTTAACATCTTCTTTTAGATAAATTTGGAAATCTTGCAGAGAACCTTCAAATCCTAACATGTTTTTAACATTTATCATTCTTTGATTAATTCTTTTAACTTCTGTTAATCCAATAGCATGAATGTCATGTGGTGACATGCTTGTAGATGTATGAAATTTTAAGCATGCTTCATAAAATTCAAAACCATTTTTAACAGATGATATAGAAACATCAAAACGGGTATTTGGTAAATAAAAATTTACAAGATACGAAAGCAACTTTTTATAACTAAAATACAAATCATGTTCAATAACACATTCAGCTTCATTAACACAATTTTCCCAATCAATTTCCGAGATATCTACTGGGCATACTTCAAAATTTTGAAAAAACAATGAGCTTTTGATTGGAACTTTTAACAAACTTTCTAAAGAACTTATTACAGGGTTAACTGAGAGAGCATGGAGTGTCATTCCAATACGAACACCTTCTTTTAACAGGTAGATTATTTCATCAACTTGCTGAGGAAACTTACGCATACGATTAATAATTTTTTTAAAATCAGAAAGAGATTCTCTCTTCATATAGCTTATTAATCTTGGAAAATCAGATTGAGGGCCCTCCAGCTGGTTCAATGGCCAAAGATAAGAGCAATATTTTGTTCCTAATAAAAACTGTTCAAGGTCAATTTTTAAAAGGTTGAGATTAAGGGTCAAAGTTGAATCTGTTTCATTATTAGTAAGAGAGATAATGACAAGCAATTCTTCGTACATTGCTTTTGCTTCATCTTCTCGTCTTTGGTAAGAGTTTAAGCTCATTTCATCTAGTCTATCATCATAGGTATGACAACCGATAGAGGTAGCAAACTCAGGAAAATTAGACAACCTCCATAACCAAAATCGGTTAAAAAACAGAGAAGTACGATCTGATAAATCCATAATTATGCTTAAAACATGCTTATATAATTACAAATTTAATACAAATAACAATACATTTATAAAATTTTCTTAATAACAATATAATTACAAAAACTTTCCAAAAATTTTAGTTTCAAGCAACAAACAAATCAAAAGCTACAAAATTTAGTAGCCGGACAACGCGCTCTATCGCGTAGCGTGTAGAGTCATAGATCATCCAGGTCATATTTCAAAAATCCGGAAATCATTAGTGTAAAATATCCGGAAAAATCTGGAATATATTTTCCCTTACATTTTTTTTTTTTTTTTTTTTTAGTTGATTTTTTAGGTGCCCCAAGAAGTCCTTACCGGTCTTATCACAGAGCACCGCGGTAGAGCATTTAATAGGAAGTTCACGCCTCCTTCCCAACCGATGTCGCAAAACTTGCCCAGAGGTGGGGTTTGAACAGCGGATCTTACGTTTCTGAGGCAAGTGCGCTACCACTGCGCCACGGCTGCTTTAAATTCCTCTTAATTTTGCTTTTAGCTAAGCTTTTTTTAATTTTTTTTTAAACTTTTGGTAATTGTTATACGAGTAATGAAAGAAAAAGCTTGAAAAACAAATGTATTACTAAAATATATTCCTAAACTTGTATGTATCGAAAACATTTTTGATATCCGGAAAAACTAAAAGTTAAAAATAAAAATTCGGATTTCCGGAAATATCCGGAAAAAGATAATCCCTGAATGTATAGCGTGTTAAGAAGCTTAGCGTTTTCTTGGTTGTTTAACAGAGCCAATGACACCATGGGAGCACGTGCGTCCCCCCCCCCCGCCCACTTCTTTTTAAAAAGAACTTTTATTTTTAAGAAAATTTTAGATATGGAGGACTTTTTTTAAAATTTGACGGTTGTGCCCTTCCACTTTGAAAACCGTATCGTCGGCCCTGTGAAACGCAGACTTTAGTAGGCATTGTCTTTCAATACTAATAAATGTATTTACCATAACTTTCCTGGTCTGTGTGCATCAAATATTGAAAATCTTATTTCAAATTATCCAAAAGAATGTTAACCAGTTAAAAAACATCGGATGTTTAATGTTAATTTTAAAAACTACTTAAAGCACTTAATTTAATCATGGAATTATAAAAAAAATATTATACTTCTATGATTTATTATACATATTTATAATACTTTCATAATTATAATACTTCCGTATTTTAATCCTTGAAACAGGTAGGCTTTTATTGCTTCCCCCGGGCCCGCAATAGTACAAATGTAAACATGGAATATTAACCTAACTAATTGGAAATATAAAATAACAAATTATTACCAAGTACAATGATGCAGCCAAATTTAAAATGTGTTCAATAGCATTGTAGGCCTTTTTATTTTTCAGCAATACACGAGATAATGATTGCACATTTAGTTTTTTCAAATAAATATGCGAGCGAAAAACTTGTTCTGCCATTTGGTAAAACTGTATTAGGCAGGGGACCATTACTTAAGGTAAATAATTTGTTCTTATTGTTAAAGAATAAACTACCATTTAAATATAAATAAAACAAAATTATATCATTAAAAGAATTATATAATGTTATATCTTTGAATAATAAGCTTTATTTTTATTTAAAGAAGTGTTTATATTCAAGCTGTTGTTATTTAAATAACAATTTTAATATATATTTACCAAATAGTATTCAATTTATATTTATTATTTTGGGCCTAAAATCTTTTAATAAATTTATTTGACAGATTTAATCAAATAAATTTATTGAAAGTCTATTAATCAATTTATTTGATTATTTGATGATCAAATTTGGTATTCAATATATTAACAGCTTTTGATTCATTTAAGAATTGAGATCAGATCTTTCTTTTTCTAAAATTCATCCAAAAATAAAAAAAAGTATATTTTTTATATATGATAATAAATAAAAATTTTTTCCTATCTGAAATGAATTATTTAAGAATTTTTACATCAGTAAAAATTGTATTAAGTTTAAAACCAGTAAAAATTGTTATTTTTGAAAATCGACTGTAAAAATAATTCAAAATTTTTTAAGATCTGAAATTGTTTATCATAGATCTATATAAACAGTCGAAGAAATAATTTTTAATAACCAAAATTATTCATGGCTTAAAGTGTCTTAAATCTAATATATCTTTTGACTAGATTAGGACATGGGTGCAAACAAATTTAAATTTAATTCAACAAAGATAAAGTATTTCAAAGGTTAATTTTTATTATTCCACACAAGTCTAAACCTTTAGATATTGTAATCAAGGTGGTTTATCTTTTTAATTAGCCAAATTATTACCTATTCTTTTCATAAGCTGTAATAAGAATTTCGACTTTTATTTTTTCATTAAAACTGGTTTAGATATTGTTCTGAAAGACTAAATCTAATCCTATAATTTTTAGATGGGAAATCTTTTTGAAGATATAAACAATAAATGAAGTTTCAGCTGTTGGAAATGCTTGCTGCATTTGTATGCAGCCAAATCATTGTAATATTGTAATAATTACTTATGCAGGATGTGAATGTTTGTTTAGCTTTGTCAATATCAGGCTTAAGACAAATACCATTTGAAAATTAGTGCACTTATGAGTGTAATGAAAGTGAAAATACCATTGGTCTTACATGCAATTAATTTTATAAAGAAATTAGAGAAAATAATAGTTAGTTACAAAAAGTGAAAAAAATTCTTAAAAGTAACTTTAAAATAGTTTACAAAATATATTTTATTTTCCATAAAAAGTATTCAATCATTTCAAACCCTTCACGTCCCTATAAAAAGTACTTTTAAACCACTATATTCATAAAACTGTACTTTCAAACCCATCACGCCCCTATAAGAAGTACCATATTTAAAACTTTAAAATAGTTTACAAAATATATTTTTATTTTCCATAAAAAGTATTTATACATCAAGTCATTGCATTGTTAACTCTCTATTTTCAAAGAGTTCCAGACTATGCTTTAGCATTCGAACTGCTAAAAATTTATATAATTGGATAGTTGAAGATGGATGTGCAAATTGGATACCAGATTGAATCAGAGTTTGCACTGTTGTTTGGAAATTTGATATCCTATTGTTAATATTTGATCTATTTAGTAAGGCAAAAATGGATTTATGTATCCCAAATGAAGTCCAGTGTATATGTTATACAAGTCCAGTGTATATGTTATGACAATCGATTCTTGTTTCACACTGTGTTTAAGAGTCTAGGGAACTGATTTGGGACCAAGGTGAGAGACAGTTCACTAGTAAAGCACAGTAAAGTTTATCAAAGAGAAGATTCCAGTTGCAGCTATTTAAAGCTTTTTCAGCATCATTTCATCGAACATAAGTAAGTAGGCGAATTCTTGTTATTATAATGTCTAGTCATTTTACTTATAACAAATTCAGCATGCATGGTCAAACTCTTGTTATTAAAACCAAAATGAAGGGGATGTGTTTCTTTTATTTCAGGACTGATGTGTAAGATAAGGTGTTCTAAAAGTTTTGTAAATATCAGAACTTTGCTGACTAATTGTTTAGATTGATGAGTGATTTTTTATACGGTCTGATTAGCGGTATAATAGCTGATGATGACATAGATGCAGGGTCCATCCATGATTGATTGCAAAGATGACAAATTTTTTTATTGATTGCATTAGTCCATCACACTGGGTAAGTTTTGAATGTTCTGCAGATATATTGAAATGATCTATGCATTTATTTATTTTCAGGCAAGAAACAGTTTTTTTTTTAAATTTCATAATTAATTATTATTTCATCAGGATTTTCAAAAGGTGGAATTTGACAATAATTAGGATTATGAGTTGTTCTTTCAGTGTTTAGTTGTTTTTTAAATATAGTAGTAAATTCTGTGGTGATTGATTGTTCATCCTTTTTGTTGTTTATAGCAAAAAGTTTTGGATTTAAATCCTTTTTTATACTCTTAGAAATATTCCAAAAGTTTTTTGGGTTAGAGTTTTGTAGTTATTATTTAGGGCTGCTTTGACGGCTTTGTGAAAATTCTTCTGAGCAAATATGTAGCAATTAAAGATAAATCATGCCTCACTCTATTTTTGAAAAAAAAAAGTAACTTAAAGTAAAAATTTTTATTTTGAGTTAAATCGGGAGTCCACCAAGATTTTCAATGTATAGACTGTTTTTTTGACTTTAAGTGCTCTCTTAGTGCCCATGCTCCACTATTTGTAATAGTAGTAAATATTTGGATAAAAAAATAAAATAAGATAAAATATATAATAGTATATATATATATTAAGTTCATTTTTAAAATCACCATTAAGGTTAAGATTAATTAAATGTTCATAAAATCTAGATTGTTCCAGAGATTGTTCACTTTGCTACAGCATGGAGCTCACAGTGGCTGGTGAAGCTTAATTTAGATAAAACCCAATTTTTTTCACCCAATTGTTTTGCAATAATTTAGATCTTTCTATATTTATGAACGCTAATATACTCGATGAGTCATCTACCCTTCATCTTCTAGGATTAACTCTTACTTCCGATCTTTCTTGGAAACCATATATCAAATCCATTGCAAAATTAGCATCTGCTAAGGCTGCATCTCTTTATAGTGCACAACACTTTCTACCTCAGGATTCTATTCTTTATCTTTATAAATCTCAAATCTGTTTTTGTATGGAATACTGTTAACATGTCTAGGGCAGATCTTCTAATGATGCCCTTTCTCTTTTAGACAAGGTGCATTGTAAACATAGTTAGACCTGCTCTTGCAGCTAACCTCCAACCATTATTACATTGTTGTAATGTTGCTTCTCTTTCTCTTTTCTACAAACACTACAGGCACACGCGCTTTTTACAGGCACTGCTCTCAAGAGATAGCGTCTCTTGTGTCATCTACTAAAATTCATTATCGCGTTACTCATCAATTAAATCTTATACTTTTTTTGTAACTATTACTAAGTGCTTCAAAAACTCTTATTTATCTAGTTTTTTTCCTAATTCATATAATTTGCAATCTTTTAAGTCATTTGTCAATTGTTA